AATAGCCTTTTCCTCCATTATACGTCGAAAGAACAATCAAGTAATTAATAACAACGTAAATCAGGTAAACCAACTATTGAAGAAATATTGCGAAAGCAATAACATAAGTTTTATTTGCAACGACAATATTGACGATAGTTTTCTCAATAGAGGAGGTATCCATCTAAATCGTCAGGGCGTAATTAAGCTAGCTTCGAACTTTAGGAATCATATTAATAACCATTGATTTAATCAAGTTGTCAGTGCATTACCACATTGTTCATTTTCAAAGCTCTTCCAGACTAACGGTTTTAAAATGGGAATCTTAAATATAAATAGTTTAAGAAAACATATCGATGAGCTCAGAATTGTTATGTCCAATGACATCTTAGATATATTAGCCATTAACGAAACTAAACTAGATAGTAATGACTGTGATTCTCAGTTTTCCATCCCCGGATACGCGCTGATACGTCGAGATAGGAATAAACAKGGAGGTGGAGTTTGTTTTTATATTCGTGACTCAATTAGTTTTCGTAGGAAAAAGAACCTAGAGGATGATGAATTGGAAATAATAATTATTGAAATTAGAAAGCCGAATTCTAGTCCCTTTCTCGTAATAACATGGTATCGACCTCCGAAACTACCTTTAGATTTCTTTGATAAATTCGTAAACGTTCTTCATATTATAGAAGATAAATACAAAGAAATTTACATTTTGGGGGATTTAAATTGTGATCTACTTTCTAATCCCCCCGAGTTGCATACTTCACGGCTCAATGATATATTTGATGAATTTCAATTGGAGCAAATAATCAACGAGCCAACTAGGGTTACGAAAAAGACAGAGTCCCTAATCGACCATGTAATATCAAATTGTAAGAATAATATTATTCAGTCTGGAGTTTATGCACTATCTATTAGTGACCATTATTTGGCTTTCGCCATCAGGAAAATTGGTATCCCAAGAGGAAGACCTAAAATTATTGAAACGAGAAATTTTAAAAATTTTGTCTGTGAAGACTTTGAAAATGACCTTAAAAACACTGTTTGGCCACTCTTCGACCAACTAAAAAACGTGGACGAAGCATGGGCAAGCTGGAAAAAAATCTTCTTAAAAACTATTGATAAGCACGCTCCCACTAGGTTGATAAAAGTGCGCAACAAACCCTCTCCCTGGATAAATGCTAATGTTAAACAGG